ATCTGTTTCAGTATTGATTTTATATCCTACAATTTTGCTGAATTAATTTATTCTATCAGTTTTATGAACTGTAGGGTTTTTAGTTTTTTATACACATAAGATCAAGTCATCTCTGAAGAGAGATCATTTTACTTCTTCCTTTCCAACTTTTGAGTGTCTCTTATTTCTTTTTCTGGCTACAATTTCCAGTACTATGTTAAACAGGAATAATAAATACAAGCACCCTTGTGTTGTTCCCCGTCTTTTTTTTTTCATTTTTATTAGGATATATTCATTACACAGGGGTACAACGTCATAGGATATATGTCATTGTGACAATAGGCTTACATTGTACATTGGTTAGATTACCCCCTAGGTCCACATCTTAAAGGAAAAGCTTTCAGTCTTTTTCTCAGTATGATGTTAACTGTAGAGTTTTCATATATATCCTTTATTACATTGAAGTAGTTTTCTTCTATTCCTAGCTCGTGTGTTTTTAATCACAAAAGACATGAAATGATTGTGTGTTTCTTCCTTTGCTCTGTTAATGTATTTTACACAGACTGATTTTCTTAAGTCAGATTTTCCTTATTTTCTAGGACTAAATCCTTTTAACATACTCTTGAATTGGTTTGCTGGTACTTAGTTGAGTGTTTGTACCAATGATCGTAAGAAATACTGGTCTTTAGGTTTTCGGTTTTTGTCTTATATAATGTGTTTGTCTGGCTTTGATATCAGGTAATGGTAATGCACTTTTAGCCTTTTAAAAAGCACATTTGACCTCCCAAGAACTTTATGACCTTGGTGAGCTGTATTTGGACTCAGGTTTATTTGGTAAGATTCTATTTTCAAATCTAACTTGTTTCTGGCCAGCCTATATTTTTATATAACTGAGTAAGCAGTTAGTCATCCTCTGGAAGTTCGTTATGGGGCAGTTATATCTTGGATCTCATGGATGAGGTAAAATTACTGAAGAGAATCACTTTAAAGATTGGTAGGATACTGTGGGAAGGCTACATGGTTATCATAAGTCTAGTGTATTGCCTTTTAAATTAAGACATGGCCAACTTAAACTATAATGCCTAATTATTTCATTGTTAATGAAAAGGGACTAAAAGATTTAAATCTTTCAGTGAATTCAGTTTTTCCTATCTCTTACAAGCACATTTTGATCATCTGCTTCTGATCAAACAGACGTGTTAATCAGATATTTGTAACAAGGCGCATGACTCTTCTTTAAGACTCTTTAAGTTCAACTGGGGGATTGAACTTTGGGCTTCACAGTTGTTAGGCAGGCACTGTACTGCTTGAACCACTCCAGCAACCTTTTTGGCATTGGTTATTTTTGAGATAGTATCTTATGTTATGCTCTGGTAGGCCTGGAACATGATCCTCTTATTTGTGCTTTCCCATGTGGCTGGGATGATAGGCACATACTACATGCCCAGTCATTGGTTAAGATGGGGTTTTGTGAACTTTTTGCCCAGACTGGCCTTGAACTGCAGTCCTTCTGATCTCCATCTCCCAAAGAGGTAGGATTTTGGGTTTGAAGCACCAGGTAAAAATCCACTGCACCTGACTCCATTTTTAAGAATTACAAGAGGGAGGGGGTGGGGGCAGGGGGGAGAAATGAACCAAGCCTTGTATGCACATATGAATAATAAAAGAAAAATGAGAAAAAAAAAAAAGAATTACAAGAAAATTAGAAGCCAAGTTTAGTTTTTTGGGTTTTGTTTTGTTCCCAGCATTAAGATTAAAGTTTAAGACTTAAAATTCTTATGTATTTAGCTTTTCAAAATCTCTCTTGATGCAAATTTCAGGGTTTTTTTTTATTCCTGACTTACAAGGATGTTTTATATACCATATTTGTTCTCTGTGCTAAATAATTCTTTAACTTATGCTACCTCAATCATGTTTGTCTTTATTCTCTTATCACTTGCTGTCATGGAAAGTATCAGCTCAGACTCTGAATTAGATAGTCCTCTATTAAGATAAAATGTGAGTATCATTTTCTGTATTTTTATATTGAATCCTACTTTTTTCAGAGCTCCTCTCAAGTATTTTCTGTTCTTGGATATAGTGACTATCTATCTGTTTCTTAGGTTTAGGTTTGGCTGTAAGAATAAAAATAACAGCTTAAACAGGTAGATATTTATTGTAAAGTCAGTATTAAGTAGTCAGGGACTGCCACTGTTGCCACTGGGTTCATTAAGAACCCAGTTCCTGTGTCAAGTTAGATTTATAGCAGCTTCAAGTTGTATTAAATAATATTTTGCTTTCTGTGATACTATTTATTCTTTAAACTTGTCACTTCTCTTTTTATAAAGTTTTTTAAGAATAAACTGGAGTGATATTTTTCACCAGATGAAAAAAAGGTAGCCCAGTTCCTTCTGAATTTTTTTGGCTATTCTCAACACAGGGTTTATTTATTTGTTTGTTCATTTGTTTTACAGCACTAGGGAAGGAACTTCGGGCATTGTACATAGTAGGCAGGCATTCTGCCACTTGAGCCATGTTCCCAGCCCTCAACACAAGGTTTCTAACTCTAACTCTCCCAAGATGAGTGCTTCTTGGTGATGAATTTAGATACCAGATCTAAATTCCAGCCAATAGGAAGGGGAAGAACAAACCCCTCAATTTCAGAGCCCTTCCTAGAAGTTAGATATGTTAATGTTTCTTATTTCCCACTTAGTCATATAGCCACTCCTAGGATTTTCAAGGGGGCAGTTACAGCCTTTATTACAGGAGGCTGGGACTAAATGTCAAGAGTTTTGTTAGTGTAGAAAAGTACAAGACCAGCACGGGAAGACAAATCACAATTCTGACAATAACCATTCTTTGTCTTTGATTGCTTTGAACTATAACTCATTTCCTTTCATCAGATTTGTGCGTTTTAGGGCAGATGATTCTCTAGATAATTTTATTTTGCAAAGAAACCCCTTCTTTGAGTGAAGTCATTCCCAGAAGTATAAATAAAACATACGAATGCAGGGCTGCTTTGACTGATAGTAGGGCAGTTGGAGGAGAGACTTGCCTTTTTCTCTGCTTGCCACTGCCTTCCCTGCTCTGTCCCTCAGTCCCACCTGCCACTGACAGCTGTCTAAGGACTGTCGAAAAAACAGTTCTCAAATTCAGCATTTCCCTGTTTATTTTCCATTTTTAATTTTAAAAATGATAAATTATTGCCTCTGCTAATAAGTTTAAGATTGATAAAAATAAGGGTGTATTTGTAAGTTTTTAATTCTGGTTTTTATAAACTAACTTATCCTATTTCTTTCATTTAATGACAGCCTGGTAGATGAAGACTAGAAGCTAAAAAATACTTTCTCCTGAAAGGAAATTGAGGAGTTAGGTGTATAGGTCAGTGGTAGAGCTTATACTTGGCACAAGTGAGTCACCTGTGTTCAGTCTCCACTACAAAAGGGGGAGGAGGGGGGAAGAGCAAAAGAAAGAAAGGGGAATTAAAATGTCTATATCTATAATAAATTCAGAACCTTTCTTTGAGGGGCTACCCATGATGCTGATACCAGCATCAGTATGCTACTGGTATTCTACGCTTGAATAAAATTTATTGTTAATTTTTTCATTAGAATGAAAAGCCTTCCAAACAAAAGAAAAACCTTCTAGTATATATTACATATATGGTCTACGTATACATATATGTACAGTAATATGGTATTTGATCCATTCTGAAAAGTATATCTAACCCAAGTGTTATCTTATTATGTGTAAGTTTTAATTCTTCTAGCTAGGACTATGTCTACTCTTTTCTCATGGATTTAAAGTTCTAGCATCTTTCCCTCTGCTCTGACCCAAACAGTCTGTTTATCTCACGGCCAGGTAGACCAGAAACAGGAGCCAGAACACAGAAAATAAGTTTGCTACAAAATGAATCATGGATGGCTTTGAAGTTTTTTTTTTTATCAAGTTAGCCAATTGAATAGTTCAAGGTAGTTTTTCAGCTCAATATGTAGATTTTTTTCCTCCCCAAAATAATTTTCTATAAAGGATGCCTTACTGTCTTTTTTTTTCCTTGTAGCCCCCCGCCATGAACATCCAAATTTATAGTCTTAGTTTGAACAGAATAATTCCACTTCTTAATATCATATCAGGATTAGCAATTCTCAAAATAGTAAAACAATGAACCATACAGGATCTTGAGTCACTTGCCTTAGTATCAATTTATACAAAGAGTGTATATATAAAAGTTTCAGAGCATTGAACTGAATTTACTCGAATGTACTTTAAAAAACCCTCATCTCATATCTCACTTACTTTAAATATTCCTGTTGTATGCTCATAAAAACAATGTAGCATATAGGAAAAATGTTTTATATGGTTTTGCTCTCTGACTCATTTTTGGAGTCAGAAACTTCACTTCTTTACTATCTGGCATATTTGGCTTCCGTGCAATTTTACATGAACTGAAAGAGTACACACAGCGACTTTTAAACACTTGGAAAAGCCAAGTGCCCGTGGCTCACACCTGTAATTCTAGTTATGCAGGAGGCAGAGATCAGGAGGACTGCAGTTCCAAGCCAACCTGAGCAAATAGTTCACGAGACCTTATTTCAAAAATACCCAACACCAAAAAGGGTTGGCGGAGTGGCTCATGTAATAAGAGTGCCTGCCTAGTAAGCGTGAGTCTCTGAGTTCAAACCCAGTGCCATTAAAAAAAAAAAAAAAAAACCTTGAAAAATTAATATTCATGATGGTCATGATGCAGATAAGCCCTGCATTATTAGTTTTTCTTACTTACATAGTTGACTGCATAGAGTAACAAGTAACATGTTTTTAAAAAACAGCTGTGAAATAGTGTTCCAAGGAGAATTTTGTTTAAATCTATAATCTCTTGCCATTGCAGTGAACTAATGCTATCAAACAGAAATATTAAGTGATTTGGTATCAACAACCTAGGTGTTTTTTAATCTTGACCTATAAGCCCATGTCCATGGTCAGATGTAAATATTTGAGAAATGGCTTACTGACTTTTTGCATCAATGTGGTATCTTATGTCTTAGGTCTATCATTTGGCAAGTGTACGCTTACGTGATTTATGTTTAAAACTGGATGTTTCAAATGAGTTACGAAGGAAGATATGGACGTGTTTTGAATTCACTTTAGTTCACTGCCCTGATTTAATGAAAGACAGGCATTTGGATCAACTCCTCCTTTGTGCCTTTTACATCATGGCAAAGGTAATGTAAAGGTTGAGGGAAGGTCTTGTTTCTCTTCTCACTGCCTTATTTTGAAGCACCTGATAAAATTCCTTAGTTTTCCTTTAGTGCTGCAAGCCAGCAGTACCCACCATTATTACATGACAGTTTTGAGCTACTATATTCTCTGGACTCTTCAGTGGTTTCATGATAATTGGCTTTCCCACTTCACATAAGAATACATTAATTATGCTGGGTGCTAGTGGCTCACATCTGTAATCTGAGCTACTCAGGAAGCAGAGATCAGGAGGCTCATGGTTTGAAGCCAGCCGGGCAAATAGTTCACAAGACCTTGTCATGAAAAAACCTTCACAAAAATAGGGCTGGTGGAGTGGCTCAAGGTGAAGGCCCTGAATTCAAGCCTCAGTATGGCCCAAAAGAAGGAAGAAAAAAAAAAAAAAAAGAATACATAAATTACGGGCTGGAGGTGTAACTCAAGTGTTAGAGAGCTTGCCTCGAAAGTATGAAGCTCTGAGTTCAAACCCCAGTACCACAAAAAAAAAAGTTGTAAAGAAGTTGGAAAACATAACACCATTTTCACACCTTCCCTGTGACATTTCAAATATACTTTAAAGTAAAATAATCACTACATTCTAGGTAAGTAACTAAGGTCCAAAACTGAAAGTAATTTGGCCAAAGATATACAATAAGTGGCAATCTACGATCTTTTCATAATGTATAGTGTATAACCACTTCTGTACCAATTTACTGTGCTGCCTCAGACATGCAATTTACTTTTAGTTGCTTCACCATGTTATAAGTCATAAAATAATATACCTTACTTGTTTTTTTTAAATTGTTATATATCTGAATAAAATGGTTTATAACTTCTGTCTTGACTATGTTGACCTGATTCTTAAACTTTTTGAGGCAAAGGACATGTTTTCAAACTCTTCTGACCCCCCCCCCCACTCACACAATGCATCTTTGAAAATCTCTATACAAAATAAGACTTAATAAATGTTTTTAACTAATCACTTTTATTTTTCTGAAAGCTGTCAAGTAAGCTTTTCCATTACCATTATAGAGAACAGATTTAGGGCTAATGGCAGGGAAGCAAGGAAAGGAGTAATTTAAGTGAACTGTATGATAAGGAGTGTCTTTGGAGATCACTAATCTATTGCCTTTCTTTGAGCCACCACTGTGACTTCTGTCTATGCATTAGAAAACCTACAATCTGTCCTGAAATGTGGAAAAACCTAATCCTATAATAGCCACAAAGTTTTATTGTGAAATAACTACAAGACATTTTCTGTCCTTTGGCGGGTGGTTAATTTACTTTTAAATATGTACTTAAAAGTAATAAAATTGAAGACTGCAGGGGATTCAGTGGGTCTGAGTTTTCTTATATCATTCTATTTTTTTAATAAAGAAGTGCATTTTCAGTAGAGTTATGCCATAGCAATCTCAGTGCTTTTTTGATTAATGAAACTATTAACTGAATCCCCACTGGCCACAAAGACTGAACTTTAAAGGTAGTAAAAATCATAAATGTTAGTGGTTTTTAGTCATGGATTGGCCTGGGGTTAATGGTTTTCTGCAAGGCTGCTCTCAATGCCAACCTATAATTGAAGTTTTCATTCAGAGCCATTTTTCTTTCAAAAGCAGTTGATAAATGTAGTTTTTATTTTCCCTAGGTAACAAAAGAAGAAAGAACTTTTCAAGAAATAATGAAAAGTTATAGGAATCAGCCCCAAGCTAATAGTCACGTGAGTTACATTATTTTTCCATCATCCAAAAATAGATTTGTACTATAGCTCTGCTGACAAGTCATACAAAAGGTGTAAACTTCCTTTACAGTTTTATTATACTGTAGATTTTCTGGTTTAATGGATAGCATTACGCTCAAGAGATAGTTTCATTAAAAGACAGTTTCAGTAGAAGCCAGGAAATCTGGATGTTTTTGACTCATTCATATAATTGCAGATACTTCTTACAAGTTCTATTATTCCATTTCTTTATTTGTTGAAGGGAGAGAGCTAGTAAAAGAGATGAATCACGACATTGTTTAATTGTATAAAACTTGGTTTTCTGATGGTTAAATCCAGTGAAATTTAAGGATTTATTAACTACAGCTTCTTTTGTCATCTTAATCTTTGAATAGGTGTTAAGTATCTCTGATGATTTATTATAATAGCTGTGATAGGAATCTTGGAAAACCTTTCAGTCATAGAAATGTAAAAAATTAGCTTAGTATCCTAACATATAGCAAACATTTAATGAATGTTTGCTTTTTACACAGTTATTACTGGAGCTGAAAAACACAGGGAATTTACCTTAAGGCCTTGCCCACTCAAGAACCAGTTGCTCTGCTCTTAGGAAATATAATGACCTCTTGTCTGGCCCTGGAGGTATCAGAGAGAGTTAGGGCAGGTAGTCATACCTCCTAAGAGAGCCCCAAAATAGTTTCACTTTCCTTAAGCTCCAAAATACACCAGTAGTAAGCAATATAAAGTAATTAAAAAAACAAATATAGGCATTTGTTAAATCTTATGATAGAGTTCCTGGGCCACTTCAGGAAAAATCTCAAAAAAAAGTCTAGAGTAAGGTTATCCCTAGAGATCATTATGGTGAGGTCAGTATGGATCAAAAATGGGCCACACCTCTACTTTCTGAATAGCCTCTCAATACTGGTAGCTTATAGTTTGAAGGGGAATGGGTCATGCCCTTCCAGCTATCTGTAGGAAAGAGTTTAGGGGCTGAGAGGGAAAAAATTTTTCACGTAGCTATCAGAAAGAAGATGAGAATGGGCTAGGGACAGCCCAGTGAGATCAAATTATTCTTGTGTAAGGAATTAAAAGAAAGGAGGAATGAGTTTAGATCTTTAGATGTTTGGATAAAACCTGCTTAGCAGACTTTAGTTGCTACTTAATTCTTCTGTTTTATAAACTAAGATAGCACATTTTAGGTAGTAGCCTCTACCTCAGGATCCCCTTGCTTTGATATTTGGCATACTTACCAGAGTTAATACGATTTTATTGTTGATTATCATTGATCTGACACAGTTTTAGTCAGCTTGATATTTTGCTATTTTGATTTGTTTAACTTGTGCTTCTTTGTGACTTAACAATCTCTTAAACACCCCCTCCCCCTTTTTTGGCCTGTAGGTATATAGAAGTGTTCTATTGAAAAGAATTCCAAAAGAAGTTGTGGCATACAGTAATAATCTAAATGGTGACTGTGAAATGACAGATGGTGGTAAGCTATCCACCTTAACTTTCTATATGTAATATGCCTTTTATTACATCATATAATCAGACAGTGAGCATCAGGCAAAATAGGATCATGACGTAGGTGGTCTAGGCAGTGAATTTTTTTGTATGTGTGGTGTTGAGGATCAAACCTGGAGCCTTGTACATACTAGGCAGACATCCTACCACTGATCTACATCCCCAATCCTACACACGTTTTAAAAAGAAATAAGTTTGAGATAAGAATGGGGAACGTACTTTCCTCCACAGAGATAGCGCGTTGAAACTGTTTCTGGGCTGAGTAGTCTAAGAATACACTAGTCCAGAAGACTCTGAGTCCTTGTGTTTGGGCAAATGGTGTTTCCAGAAGATCTTGGTCCTTGTGGTTCTATCATGGGAGAATCTAAGCAGAACATGTAGATGGAGTGAGATAGAAAAGCTTTTTTAAGGGAAAGGGAGTCACTGGTTCTGCCAGGTGAGGGAAGAGAAGAAAAAAGGGCTGGAGTCTTTTGGTAGGTCATTTTTTATATCACCTTGAACTTAGAGGTGGGGAGAGAATATGCCATCGCCTGGCTCCTCTGACTGTGGGCTAGAGGGAGGAGCTCTTGAGTCAGGAGGGAGAGCAGTCCCAGACTCTCCCCTAACCTAACCTGCCTCACTTGTGTCACCTGAACAGAGAACAGACAGAGACACAAATTCTAAAACAGTAGCAAAACTATGGTACAGAAAAAGAAAGGAAAAGCACTGCCTGAAAAGCAATGGGCCCCTACCTAATGGCAAGGAGGCCTTGACTAACAAAACTTTATTGAAAGAAAAGGGAAAAAAGAAGCATCTTAAGGGTGCACACAAGCATTGGTTTCTTTATTTAAGGTCAATTTATAAGTTGTAAGGCAGGAAAAATCTGGGCAGTTCTTAGAGAAGGGATAGGGTGACTGGCAGGTATGCTTAACGTAGCCTTATCAAATAAGCATGAGCTTATGTTAATTTCTAATCCTTTAATTGTATGTATGAGATGTGACTAATATTCATGAGGTCCTAAATAAGAGGACTTGACCTGGGAGGTCAAATTGGGGGCAGGCCTTTTTTATTGTTTTAAGGCAGATCCAAAGATGCCCCTTCTGGACACTATCTTGCAATGGTATTTATGACCACCATGGTATTTACAACTTAGAGGGGATTTATTGCTCTAGAGATGGTTCAGGGCTGTGCTGGGGTGCCTGTTAGCTTTGTTAATGCTTAAGAGCAGAGAGTCCCTTATAAGTTACTTTCCCTGCCAGCTAACCTGTCTCAAAACCATTACAAATTGTCCTCTGTTAATTTTATTTTGGGAGATGTTTTGTAGTGGCTTATACATATTAATAAAACTCATAAAAGACATAGTAAAATTTAGAGATCTGAATGACAGGGAAAACAGGGTAGCTGTCAAGGATCCTCTTGAGATAATTAAGGAAATGTCCTGTTAGTAAGAAGTATATAGACAAAAGTGGAAAGTATGGCATATGAGAAGCATCCTTCCTTTTCAATCCATGAATGAGAAGAGGGAGATAACAAAAGAGACACTATATACTGAAGAGAGAAAGAGGAAGAGCATTGAGAATTGTGAAAGAAGTGACAAGACAGCTGAAAAGCATGGACAAACAGAAAGGCAACAAAGAAAAGTAAGAAAACAGTCCCAAGTTCAGTCCCCAGCTTCCTGAGACGAGAGGGGAAGGTGAAGATGCAATCACAAATTAAGCCAGAGGGCCTTGGTGCCAGACTAGCAATTCTAGCTCAAAAATAAGCCCACACTTCCCACAAGCCTTAAACCCAGTGCACAGATTTGGTGAGATAGTGACTGCTCCAGTGTGGAATGAGCTGTTGTGGCAGCTTTGAAACAACAAACAATCACAGCTCAGAGAGTGTTGAAACACCCTGCCACTCTGCCAGTGTCTCCATGGGAGACAGCCACCAAAGATGGTTTTAGAGAGAGTGAGGGACTCATGTAGCCCCACAGAGAAATTCAAGCAACAAGGAAGTCCAGCAGCAATGGTCACAGTGGTTAGAAGCCCCAGCCACCCAAATGAACAGTGAGTTCCATCACCTGAGGGTCATGGCAGAAACACAGCATGGACTCAGTGGCTGGTGTAGAACTCAGCTTCCAGGTACTGCTTCCTGGCTATATGTGTTGGCTGCCAGGTGAGTTTGAGAGCCAGGGGCCCAGATCTTCCAAATCATCTGATTTTCACAGCTTTTTTCCACCCTCAGAGAGGTGAATTATTGGGCAGGGTCTGAAAGCACTGAGACCTGCTGCCAGGAACCGCATCCTGGTGTTTGCTTCCTGGTGGAACTGAGAGCCCCAAATCAAAGCTTCCTCCCCCCAGATCACATGATTTCCACACCCCCTCCATCCCATCAGAGAGGTGAACTGTTGGGCAGAGTCTGAAAGCACTGAGAACAGGAGGCAGAGTGCTTCGGTCCCTCAGTTTTTCCCCCTGCCAAGGCAGAACTTAGTTTGTTCCCCCTCACTCTCCAATGCATTTGGGTGGACACTTTGGGAGAAGAGGTGCAATATAAAGGCATATTCAGTAAAGTAATTGTAGAAAATGTCTCAAATCTTGAGAAAGAGATGTTTCTGTACCTGGGTATAGGAGGCTTTCTTAGGACTGCAAACAGACAAAACCAAAAAAGAACCTCTCCAAGACTATTGTTGAAACATTATGCATAAAAAGCAAGGAAAAAATACTGAAAGCTGCATGAGAGAAGCACCAAGTCACACCTATAAAGACAGACCTGTCAGAAAAACAACAGAGGGCTGAAGGCATAGCTCAAGTGCTAGAGCATCTGCCTAGCAAGCTCAAGGTCCTGAGTTCAAACCCTAGTATCACCAATAAAACAACAACAAAAACAATAGCAGCAGCTAGAAACTTAAAACTAAAAACAAGGAGATCATGGAATGATGTATTTTAAACCCCTAAAGAAAATAACTGCCTAGCAAAGCTATCCTTCATAATTGAAGAAGAAATAAAAACCTTCCATGGTAAACGAAAACTTAAAGCAATTTATGTCCACTAAACCATCACTTCAGGAAGCTACTCAAAGGACTCTTAGACACAGAGAGGAACATAAACGCAATCATATTAACCTGGAAAAGAATAAAATTTCACTACACAAGTAGTTAAGCAAATGAGTTGGGAAAAATCAAACACTACAAAAACAAAATGGCAAGGATTACTGCATACCTCCCAGTAATAACTCTGAATGTTAATGGTCTCAGTTCTCAAATCAAAAGACACAGACTGGCAGATTGGAATGAAAAATAAGCTCTAACCATTTGGTTCGCTTAAAGTATAGCTCCTTACCTTATGTAAATATTAACAATTGGAATTGGAATGACATAGAAATATGGACGGTGGTCTCTGTCTTAAGAAATTTCTAATCCAAGGAGGACATTAAATAATTGTAATCGATCCATATGGTAAAATTAACCTATAATAGCTGTTACCAAGTATCTTAGTCCGTTTTTCTGTTGCTGTAATAGAATATCTGACACTGGGTAGTTAATGAAAACAATGAAATTTGTATCTTACAGTTCTGGAGACTTGGAAGTCCAGGTCAGGGTCCACCTCTAATGAAGGCCTTATTGGTGGGGAGGATTCTGCAAAGTCCCGAGGCAGTGCTGGGCATCACATGGCAAGAGGGACATATACAAGAGACAGCTTTTATAATAGTCTTTCTCTTAAAATAATCCATTTGCCCATCAGTCAGTTCATTCATGAGGGCAGAGTCCTTGTGTCCTGATCACATTTTTTCTTCTTTTCTTCTTTTAGTATGGGAATTGAACCTAACGTAGAGACTACTGGGCTATACCTTCATCCTCCCTTATCACCTGGTCTTATCTCTTAAAACCTCACAGTGGGGTTTATATTTCACTATGAGTTTGGGTAGAGATATTGACACCAGCTAGTATGCTTTGAAACAGTATTCCCAGGATGGTAGTATAAGTGTTAGAAGAAAGATTATGTATAAAAAATTAGGAAACTATGGAATTAAGGTAAACATGTTTTTTTCAACTTAACATGACTAACATGCATTATGAATTTCCAATGTTATATGCAGCATTTCCTCAGTCTACTTAACCCCATAGATTCCCCACAGTCAAGATCCTTCAAAAATAACAAGAATAACTCTCCCAGCAGGCAGACTCTACCTGCACCCACCATGCTCCTTCTTGTATTTCCCTTCCCTTACTTTTAATAAACTCCCTTTACACCCACTTGTCCTGCCATGGATTCTTCCACATGGCACACAAAGAATTTGGAAGTCTTCTAATCACAGACTGAACCGGCGCCTTTAACATTTTTGACAAGCCAGCCAGGAGAAGTAAGACCCTTTGGAGAACCCATGGTGACAGCAAATGCTGCCACCATGATGAAGCCACCACATATCCAGCACCATCTTGCCACTCCCTAGTGTAAGAGACTGGTCCTTTGGAGAATGATAGGAAACTGGGGTACTCTGCTGCTTGTTGACACACAGATGTCTGGTGGAGGCCTTTTTAGGCAAGCCAGGCCTCAAGGACTTGCAACTGAGACTTCCAAGATAGAAGAGATAAGCCTTAAGGATCTTGGACTGATCTCACTCTCTCTCAAAGGGCAATCTTCCTCCTTCCCTTTCCCTCTCTCTCTCCACCAGCCAGCATAGGGAATTCTATTCAGGAGTCCTTGTGCAGGGTGAAGAGACTGACCCTTAGGAGAACAGTTCTCTCTCTTAAGGAAATAAAATCCTTTAGGACCCAAATCATGAGATTACTGGGCTATCAATCTCTCCAGACGAATGAGGTCTCCATGATTAACCCAGATCTGAGGAACCTTGACTATGCTGAACAACAATTCAAAACACCTTTTGTCCAAATGAATGCCAAGGGAAAGAAATAGGACAATTTCCCATTGTATGTAGTGTCTGCTGCACCTTGTCAGCTTGAAGCAGATACTTAGGATGGACCGCCCTCTCTTCAGCACCCCCCAAAAAAGAACTTTTTGGAATATTGTCTTAGGTGGAATTTGAGGCAGGCTAGAATTAGGGAAGTTTGGAACTCAGAAAATACTACATTTCAGATTGACCACACTCTGGCTCAGGTACTGCCCTCACCTGGCCCAGGAACCGCCTATGCCCCTCCCCACTCATTGATTATTGGATGGGAATCGCCTGGTTCTGCCCTTTCCATGGGTTTTAAAAACCCTGGAAAGGCGAAGCATGCTGTCTTGGCCTCCAGATTCCACCTTGGGCCTGCTATGCTCCCCTTTGTATTTCCCTTCCCTAACTTTTAATAAACTCCCTTTACACACACACACACACACCCCAAAAAATAGCAAGAATAAAAAAGATATCCAGGGATGCAGTGTTACCAGGCTGAGTGGTCTAAGAAGACACTAGTCCAAAAAATTCCCAAGTTCTTGTGTTAACCTGAACGAGAACTAGAAAGAGACACAAATCGCAAAACAGTGGCAAAACTTTACTGAAAGAAAAGAAACAGTAAGAGGAAAACACTAAGGGAAGCAGTAGGCTCTGCCAGCTGCACAGAAGCATTGATTTCTTTAAGCCCAATTTATAAATTGTAAAGCAGGAAAAATCTGTGCTGTTCTTAGGGAAGGGGCTAGGGTGGCTAGCAGGTTTACTTAACGTAGTCGGATCACATAACAAGGGGTATTCGCATATACTTATGCTGATTTTTGGCCTTTAATTGTATGAGATATGACCAATATTCATGAGGTCCTAAGTAAGAGGACTTGGCCTTTGAGGCCAAATTTGGGTTAGGTCTTTTTTACCAAGCAAGACAGACTCAAAAGGTGCCTCTTTTGAATGCTATCTTGCAAAGATATTTGATGACCCCAGGATATTTACAACTTAGAGGGGATTTATTGCGGTAGAGATGGCTCAGGGTCCGTGCTAGGGAATGCCTGCTTGTTCAAGAGAAGGGGGGTCCCATGGTGGGTTATTTTCCCTTTGCTAGCCTGCCTCAGCAGCACTTACCCAGCATACATAGGCCCTGGGTTCAATCCCTAGTACGATGGGAGGGCAGGCATTCATATTAGGACTGAGACAGATTGCTTGGGGTTTTGGCCCTTGACCCACGTTTGAGTTTTATAGTTTTCCTAAAGTAAAGGTGTGCTTCAGTACATTCTCAGTGTTTGCAAGCCAATGTGTTGTGAATGAGAACTTTTTCATATGCTGATTTTTTTTCTAATTGATAGTGGTTTTCTTAGCTCCTGTAAACGGATGATTCTTATATGTACAAGTTATAGTTTATAGTACACTTCCTCTAGACTGGGATGTAGCTCAATGGTCGAGCACTTGCCTAGCATGTGTGATGCTCTGGGTTTAATCCCAGCACCAAAAAAGAAAAGAAAAGAAAAAAAAGGCTGTAATACTCTACCTCAAATGACAGTGGAATCAGAAGCTATCTATCCCAGAGTGATACTATGAATCAGAAAGCACCTCAGTGCAAGCTGTGATTTTACAACTGAGGGCATTAACTAAAAACTGAGCACTAGGGTGAGTCCCTAATGTACATGGGAAAATAAGGCTCTTAGAACATCTACAACTTGCCAAGTATTTACACAAAGATAAATGAAAACAATTTACCTTGCTTCTTCTTTAACCTATGAGGATATGCTTTTCCTTTTAATGTTTTCACCTTTTTCGAAGAGCAGGTAAGAATATCTGTGGGTTCTTGTGTAAGTGAGCTCAGGGCTTGCATTGCCACCACACTGTGAAGCTCAGCTCAGCTTAACAAGGGCTGGCATCTTGTCAGGGTCACAGGGGCAGTGAGCTCAAGAGCTGTGATGTGTGAGCATGCTTGCTGAAAAGTAGCTAGGGAAAAGCACGACTGTCAGTTCACATGTTTGTATTTCTCTAGATTCTAATTTGAATGCAGGTGGATTCTAATTTTTAATGCAGGTGGATTTCTGAGCTAGCTCTGAAAATACTAACTGCTTTTCATAAAGATTTGTGTTTTTTTATATTATAGAGATGCTGTAATTCAGATCACCAATTTATATATATTAAAGTACACCTAACACAATACTGAATTCTTTTTTTTTTTTTTGAATTCTTTTTAACAGAGTTGGAAGAGGCCACAAAAATACCTGAGAGTTCCAGTAGACCAATGAAGGAGGAAAGAGGTGATCTAATCAAATTTTACAATACAATATATGTAGGAAGAGTGAAGTCATTTGCGTTGAAATATGACTTGTCAAATCAAGACCATCTGGTATGTTTTTAAGTTTTACTACTTTAATAACAGTACTCATCATTGGATTACTTTGTATTTTGCTCGATAAATATTTCAGAGTGTAAAGCCTCACTGATTCTTTATGTAGGAAATTATATACTAACAATTAATCAATGTGTGACTCGTAATTTAATCAGAGCGACTAAGGCTATATGATACAACCAAGACCAAAAGAAATTGTGGGAATTTTATCTAGACTGTGTTTTTTAAAATTCACTAGAAATTCTGTGTGCAGGTGGGCAGTGACTAGATGGGTACTTGGAAGTATTAAGACAATTAATTTGGGTATTTTTTTCTGTTGTGCTTTGTTTCCCTTGTTACATTGTGGGGTAAGTGTGTTTCTTAAGGTAAAAAAAAGCTGGGCATAGGTGGCTCATACTTGTAATTCTAGGTACTCAGGAAGTAGAGATCAAGAGGATCAAGGTTCAAAGCCAGCTTCAGGCAAATAGTGAGACCCTACCTCAATAAAGCCCATACAAAAAAGGGTTGGCAGAGTGACTTGAATGGTAAGAAAGAGCACCTGCCTAGCAAGCCTGGGTTCCTGAGTTCAAACCCCAGAGCTGCAAAAAAAGATGAGAAAAAAAGAAATAAGTAGGCCTGAACCATTAACAGAGATAATACTAAGAAATTTTTATGCAGACCTTAGTTTTGGCAGTAACAGCAGGCCTGAGACAGTGTTACCAGAGTAAGCTTAGATTGGTTCCAAGGAGATCCAATTTTACTACAAAATGAGGGCCCTAAGCTGTGTATAGTGGCTTATATCTGTAATCCCAGAATCAGTAGGATCCTAAATTAGAAGCCAGCCTGGCCTACATAGTGACACCCTGTCTCAAGGGGGAAAAAAAAAAAGCCTAATAAAAGTTGGAGCCAGCCAGCCAGAAGCCGTGTGTGTATATCTGTGTGTGTCTATGTTTCTGTGCTTGCCTCGTTTAAGGAATGTGGTCTGTAGGTAGCTCAGAGACCCCATCATCCTACCCCATTAGTTCAGCCTCCCCTGTCATATGCTATCCTATGAATATCCTTACCTTCAGTTAATCGAAACCTAGTTTTTTAACTTCAAATGAAGATGATTAATGACATATTAAAAAGCCATGTCCATTTCTTCTATATATTGTAGAGAATATTAAAGGAAAATTAAATCCCAGTTCAACTATTTCTAAATCTTTTGTATTTTTATATGAAGTCTTTCCCATTTCATTTAACAGATTTATTCCATGGTGGGTCATCCTTCTGGCTCCCAGAATTCTCTGACTTTCTTTGCTACTGTCTTGGTTACGGTGTATGTTTGTGTGTAGAGATTCTTATTGCAAGTGTTAGAACATTAATTACTCTTTGTCCCTATTTTCTTTGTTTTTGTTTTGGTGCTAGGGATTGAACCTAAGGCCTCTTGCAAGATAAAAGCTCTACAACTGAACTACACTCCCAACCCTGTCCCTACTTTCTAAGCATGAACATAAGATTCCCAATGTTCCTGGCTATCATGCCTGCTGACTTGCCCAGATGTATATTTGTGTTTATTTCTTTTTGTCTTTTTGAAACAGGGTCTCACTGTGTAGCCCAGGCTGTCCTCAAACTAGAGATCTTCTTGCCTCAGCTCCCAAGTGCCAGGATTACAGGTGTGCACTGCCATGCCTGACTTGCTTAGAATTCTTAACACTAGTTACAGAATTCCCTAAAAGAGCCAAGATAATAAACTCTAGCTTATCTGTTAATAATTGTTGAAAATGGCAATAGGTTATTTCTTTGCTTTATTCAACCATAAAGAAGCACTTACAATGTAACTGCTCCTAACCAGGAGATGCTATAGGTATAAAAATATCGTGCAATTCAAAAGAGAAAGACAGCTTTTTTCTTAAGGGTCCTGTTTTTGGGTTATTTTAGATGGATGCTCCACCACTTTCTCCTTTTCCACACATTAAGCAGCAGCCAGGCTCACCACGCCGCATCTCCCAGCAGCACGCCATTTATGTTTCCCCGCACAAGAATGGATCCAGCCTCACACCAAGGAGTGCTCTGCTGTACAGGTTCAATGGCAGCCCTTCTAAGGTAAGGTACAGAGAAACTTTACTCCAAAACAACTCAGGAACATATGTGCTCAAAGTTGGATTTTGAATTGAGACTTTCAAGTAACTTTAAAAAAAAAAAATTAGATTTCAGATTACCAATTAGTAGTCATTAATCTTTTTTTTTTGTAAAATTACTATTAATAGAATATGAACTGTTAACTATGGCATGTTACCTGTGATAGACAGTAGTATATTAAGACCAAAAGTGATGACTCATACCTTTAATCCCAGCTATGTAGGAAGCAGAGATTGGGAGGATCACAGCTCAAGACCAGCCCAAAAAAAAGTTAGGCCCCATCTCATCCAGTAAGTCACACCTGTGGTCCCAGGGAAGCCATAGGTGAGAAGGTCACCATCCAGGCCAGCCCCGGACAAAAACACAAGATCCTATCTAAACACCAGAAACAAAAAGGCTAGAGGTGTGGCTTAAGTGGCAGAGCATCTGCCTATCAAGTACAAGAGCCTGAATTCAAACCTGTACCGCCAAAAAAATTTTTTTAAAGAGCAATATATTAAGTTGGGCATGGTGGCATACCTCTATAGTCCCAACACTGGGAGGCTGTGGCTGGGTTTTTTTTTTTTTTTTGGGAAAATCTTGCGTTTAAGGCAAGTGTGGGCTACATAGCAAGACCCCCAACTTAAAAAAATAATAAGTAGTAATATCAGTATATTCAGGGGCAGAGGATAAAGCTCAGTGGTAGAGTGCTTGCCTAGCATGCTCAAAGCCCTGGATTCAATCCCCAGACCCACAGAAAAGAAAAATAAAAAAGAGCATTGTATTCAGTTGAGATAGTTTAAGCCATTGCTGTTGATGTGATATTTGGGAGATTCTTCTTAGGAGTCCAGTGTGTCTCCCAGTTCAAGCATGATCTTGAGAAGGGACCAATAAGGCAATACCTACAAGAGGTCAGACTTGGTTAAGTTTTGTTTGTTTGAGTCAAAGTCTCACTATGTTGTCCATGCTGGCCTCCAAATCCTGGGCTTAAGTCATCCTCCTGCCTCAGTCTCCCAAGAAGCTGGGACTATTAAGTGCATACTCAGCTTTGGAATGTTAAGTTTAAAGAAAGGCCTTGGAAGTTCAAGTACAATAGATGGATGTAATGTGGATAACTGAAAAGTCTGAAAACAGAGGCCTCCTCTTAGGTACCCTCTGTGGAGACACTAGCTCCATCTTTATTCTTGTACAATAATGGAGATCCGACAAGGACATAATTTTTCAGATTTTTTTTTGACTCTCAAGCAGTAGTTAAATCTCCAGAAGCCAGAATCAACAACTGGATGAAATTGTCAGTTCAAATGTAATAGCAGCTCCTTAATTCTTTAGTTTTCTATTTAGTTTCTCAGATACCTATTGAGCTCTTACTATACTTGGCAAAAAACATTAACTAAGATAGACTTTCATTTCCTCCTCAAAGAAATTGATTACCTGTAAGGATGTTAGAAGAGATTCTTGCATCAAAGATGCAAGGAATCCCCAAACAATGTATACGCATGTAAGTAATGTAAAAATGATCAAATAAAATTTTAAAAAAGATGCAAGGGATCATATTGGACTTGCTAGCTTCTTAGGCAATGATTCTGAAACCACGAGTCAGAATCAGCTGAGGAGCTTGTTGAACACAGATATCTGTCCCACAGATCTGCTGAATCACAAAGCACAAGCACGCAGGTCTGGGACTCCAATCCTTACAAACTCGCTAGATGACTGTGATGCACAGCTTTCAGGAACCAGTTCTCCAAGCCCTGCTGTGATCCATGAGCCAGCAGCATCAGCATCACATGTGAACTTGTTAGAATCACTGGCCCTACACCAGCCCACTAAACCTGAATCTGCATCTGAACAAGATACCAGATGACTAGCAAGTGCGTTAAGGTTTGAAAAGCATTACTCTGAGGAACAGGATCTCAGACTTCAGGGGCCATTCAAATCACCAGGAGTGCCTCCTAAAAAACATGGATTGTTGGGTCCTGCCTCAGAATGTCTGAGTCAGAAAGTGGACAGAGAAGCTTGAGAATTTGTATTTCTAATATTAGCTCCTAAATGCTTCTGCTGTTTCTGGTCTAGGGACTACAAGAACAATAGCTATAAGGTATGTCCATCTTTTAGAACAACCCAAAAAGGCTAGTTTTAGCCACCCTTGATAGGCTGGTTTGTACCCCAGGTTTTAGATTTGGGTAGAAGATAGCAGAAAAAGCAGTTCTTTGCTATTCTCTTTTTTCCTATTGCTATTTCCCTTTATCCACTTTAGTCACACACATCCTCTCTTTTTGCAGAGTTTGAAAGATATCAACAACATGATACGGCAAGGTGAACAGAGAACCAAGAAGCGTGTAATAGCCATGAGTGGAGATGCAGAGTCACCTGCCAAACGCCTCTGCCAAGAAAACGATGACGTTTTACTTAAACGACTGCAGGATGTTGTCAGTGAGAGAGCAAATCACTAATGTTTTCCTGTTTCTGACAAAAGCACTTTCAAGTTCTGCAGAAAGTTGGGGTTCAGTCTTTCAAACCTTTCTGCCCTGTAGATGATGAGTATCACTGGGTTATACAAAAAATTGCACCAAAATTAAGCGCTTTTTTTTTCTACATTTATCCAAACGTAGTTGATGAAAAAATGTTTTGAGTTAGATTGGAAAGGAATTTTTAAGTGCCTTTATAAATATTAATAGTCATAGGATTTCTTTTGCTCCTTGGGTTAGTTTTTAAGATGAATTAAGGAAAAAGCTCATAATTTTTTTAGTACTCTTTTAAAAATAATAATCCTTCTGTGCTTTGTAAATTACCTCTTTTTGATAATTATGCTTTGAGATTTTTTCATTTTCAATTCACTGCTGTTGGTAGGGGTTGGTTCCCACAGTACACGGATGGAGGTGATGCAGCAGCCTGTCTCTGTCCCATTGTGGTGAGTGCACATGAAATAGAACCCACTCTGAGTCATCTGGATCCCACATCCTCTTCCTCCTTTACCTGTTGTGCATGAACAGCTTTCTAACTGAGTCTCTGGTCTGCACACATTCCTTACTTTCCACTCCTGACCCTCCTAACCTGGTATTAAACCCAATGAAAGAGGGACATTTCCTCCTTTTTTAAAATGACTGTCATTTTGTTTTTCATGACATGAACTTAATTCTACATGATTGTATTAAGTCATATAAATCTCAAAATAGGAAGCTGCTTCTCAAGCTATGAGAATAAAATTCAGATAACGTTATTAGAAGCTAACATGTTTAGTAAGGTAGCATCATGATCATGTGTGATACTGTTTTGGGGGCCATGATAAGGTTATTCATTCTTGTTGTCTAAAGATACTTGAAACCTTTTTCAAAACCACAGTAAACTCACTTCATGACTTACAATTTTAATGTATATCAGTAACAGCTGCTTATTTCTTTCCCTGCTTTGTCCCAAGTATTATTAATGTGTCATGAATTTCCTATTGGAGTTTGACCCCTGGTTCCCTAAAGATGTTTTCCAGCACTAGGGATGCAGCTTTCCAAAGAATCCACTCAATATTCACTTTTTCTAGTGTTAACAGAATCTGGAAGGACATGGATAAGCCATTCTTAATTAATTTTGATACAATATATCAAATGTATATATTTTCAACTGCAAACCTTATTTTTAAATGTATCATGTTGGGGTTAGGGGTGTGATAGGCTGCTTATGTAACATTTGTGAGGCCCTGGGTTTGATCCACATCCAGCTGCAGAAAGAAAAACTTTTCTAATTTACCTTAGCTAATTTGAAATAGTCTGAGATTTGGCTGTCCATTAGTGATTAGTATTTTCAGTAATTTTGTGTTTAAAACATAAGAATAAAAGGCATTTTGGTCACATTTTACTTTTGTGAAAATTACATGCTCATTTTTTGTGTAGTATCTACACATGTTATAAGCCAAATAACAATGTCTGTCTTTCATCCTTGTACATATTTTTATGTAGCTATAACTATTATGTTATTTTCATTATTAGTGTGCAAAATATAAATGAGTACTTGTACATCAATTATGTAAGAAACTATGGACTTGTTTTTAGGACTTGGTATCAATGTACATAAAATGGCTAATAAAAATTCAAATTTTTAAGATTATTGAAAAAATTATTCTTGTGCTTTTTTCTATATGACTAGAAAGAAATGTGTAGCCATCTAAAATCTGTCTTTTTAAAATATCTACTTCATATCTTTAAAATTCCTTGGTACTGCTTAAAAGTTTATGTTCCTGGTGGTTTCCCAGGGTCTACGGGAATAAAGGACACAGGATTTTCTTTTGGGGTGATGGGAATATTAGAATATTTTGGGACAATAGATAGATAATTGTCAATTTATTACATGCCACTGAATTTTACACTTAAAATTGTTAATTTTATATTATGTGAAATTTCAACTTGATGTTTTTCTTTTTTCTTTCTTTTTTTTTTTTTTGTCACTACTGGAGTTTAAACTCAGTATCTTGAACTTGCTAGGCAGGTACTCTATCACTTGAGCTACACCCCCAGCCCTTCACTTCAATTTTTAAAAATATACATACAAAAAACCTGATTATTTCAAAGCCTTGGAATGAATATGTGGACTAAATTATACTGAATTAAGAAAAAGGCTCATTTCTCTTTTACAAGTACTTTTAGACATGCTTCTCTTTTTTAGTTTGCTTGATTTTTGGTTTTGCTTTGGCAGTATTGGGGCTTGCCAGCTGTGTTTTCGTGTGTGTGTGTTATTGGGGATCAAACCTAGGGCCTTGTACATACTAGTCAACACTCTACCACTGAGCTACATCCCTAGCCCTTGGTTTTTGTTTTTGGCTCTCCCCCTCCCCTAGTACTAGGTATTGAAGCCCAGGCCTCATGCATGCTAGTTAAATACTTAACCACTAAACTACATCCCCAGCCCCTACCCCTAGGGTCTCACTGTGAACCCGGTCTGGCCTCAAATTCATGGTCCTCCTGCCTCAGTCTCTGATGCTGGGACTACAGGCATGTACCACTCAACTCAGTTTCTTGAATCAGATTTTTTTTTAAAGGTAATATTTGGATATAGCTCGGTGGTTGGATGTTTGCCCAGAATGTGTGAGACTCTAGGTTCAATCCTTAGCATTACAAAAAATAAAAAAGATAATGGTCCTGTTTGTTTTAGCCTTGTTCCTTTATAGTGTTTTCACTAAATAAGAATTTATTGGCTGCCTACTCTGTGCCTAACCTTCTGCATGAATATGAACCAGATGAACCTGTCCTCAAGATAATATTTATATAGGCCATTGGTATAATGTATTAAGTATGATACTATAGCTCTCTCTATACAAAGACAGGATGCATTAGCACAGAGAAGAGAATGATCCATCAGGGAAACCTCTAAAGGAGAGAGTATATGGTAATTTAGTCTTTATAAGTAACTGTTTGCCAAGGCAGTAAAAGTATTTAAGACAGACACATAGCCTATAGAAAGGCCAGAGACAGAAAATTACTATAGGTCTGGAAACTACAGGTAATCAGGTAAGGCTGGGATGTGGTGTACATATGCAAAACTGGTGGGAAATAGAGCTAGAAGTATGGTCAAGGACCTTCATAGTTGGTCCTAAAAACCAAGTGGCTCAAGTGGCAGAATGTCTGTTTAACCAGTGCAAAGCCCCGAGTTCAACCCCTAGTATCCCCAAAGGCAGGGAGGGGAAGAGCTGTAGCTGGGGTTTGATCGGTTTCAGTGGTTCTCAACATTGGCTGCAACTAAATAGCTTAAAAAAAAAACTACATGGATTGTAATCCCAGCTGTTCAGGAGGCCAAGACAGAAAGATAGGAAGATAGTGGTTCTAAGCCAGCCCCAAGGCCAAAGTGAACAAGGCATTATCTCAAAAACAACCCCTGCGCCAGATGCTGGTGGTTCACATCTGTAATCTTAGGGTGCTGGGATTAGGATGATTGCAGTTGGAAGACAGCCAGGCAAATAGTTAATGAGACCCCCATCTCTAAAATCAGAACAAAATGGAAGAGGTGTGGCTTAAACAGTAGAGCACCTGCTTTGCAAGCACAAAGCACTGAGTTCAAAACCCAGTCCCATTAAAAAAAAAAAAAAGCCAAGCAAAACATCCATTGAGGATTAACCCAGTGGTTAACTGAGTTAACTGAGTGGGTAACTGCCCAGTCCTTGACTGCCCACATTCATACCCAGGTTAGAGCAGTGTGCTGCCTTCTGCCTGAAACCATATGTACCCAGATGGTTAGCACATGTGAGGCTCAATTCCTAACACCACATGGAAAAGGAAACATACATAGATGCATGAATCTGTGGGGAGTGGATTATGAGAAGCCTATGAGAACTTGACATAAGCACAGCTGTGTCAAACAATCTGCAGGCTGAACTGGGGGCAAGGGCAAAATGCTAAAATGTTTATGTTCAGAGAGTAGCAATCACAGGCTCCCCCTGTTCCCAATAACTACATTGTCACTCCTCCCCCTTACCAGAACTGTTGCTCTACCTCCTTTTTTGCCACTATATATAATAAACTCACTGGAGGTGGACAACGCTGCTTCTGCTGGCTGTTGTGCGTCTCCATCCGAGCACCCAGCACTCCTGACCCCAGCTTTCTGCATGTTTGTCTTCTGTCTTTTGTCCTTTCTTAATCTCCCACCACTCCCAGTTAGGTTAGTAGGACCAGCTCACATGGGTCGAGAGATGAATCCTTCCCCTAGAAATCAGATTTAACTGGTTTAGGAAACAGAGTTAACATCAGATTTTTTTTTTTTCCAAGTGACTAGAGATTGTCATCAACTTCATAGGAATCTTTTGTCATTAAGGATTTTTTCAGCCACTGGCACACACAGTCTGGGGCCTGAGGAGCTGCTCAAGTGCCAAGTTCAAGCAGCTCTCCAGCAATCGTGGCAACGCCAGTCCCTCACCACCAGCACTGAGTGAACACAATCCAGAGCTCCTCCAATTGCCACCTGTTGACAGTCTCTCATGCCAAGGGTACATTGCCTCACAGGGAGAACCACCCCACATGGCATCTTAATCTGGCCACTGAGATGTGATTTTTGCCTTGATGGCATAAATTCTTTGTCATGTCTCCTTTACCAACAGTTTATAGAACAAACCACCCTTTGTATTAGGATTAGACCTGGATCCTAGTATTAATGACTCAAACTATGGCTCTCATATTTTGTTCTCTGCTCCCAAAAGGAAGAAAAAATTTACCTTGAAAAGTGTCAGCTCAATAATAAACTGAATGATGGAGGGAGTGAATTCAACCATGATATATTTTAAGAACTTTTGTAAATATCACAATGTATCCCCTGTACAACAATAATATAATGAAAAAGAGAGTAACTTCATAAGAGAAAAAAATAATAACCATTGACTTAAGACTGTCCAGCACTGCTGAAAATTACCTCCCCACTAGGGTACAGAGGTTTCTAGGAACTTCTCTTTGAGGACAGATCCCAAGAACAATAACCATAGGCCAAAGCCCAACCTCATCTTAGCTCTTTGCCTCATTGCATGGAAGGGCTGCCCAGTCCTTGACTGCCCACATTCATACCCAGGTTAGGGCAGTGTGCTGCCTTCTGCCTGAAACCATATGTATCCAAGCACTGTGTCCTTCAGGGCAGCTGAGCAGCAGGCATGGTAATTGCTGAGGCTGAGCAGCTGGGTCCAGAGGCAATGTTTGCTCTGAATTTTTAAATACTTGGTAGGTGAGCACCTAAGGTTGCAAGTCACTGCTGTAGACCATCAGGAGCCACTGAAGAGGTTTCAATTTCAAGAGCTGTTTATTTTAGAGCTGCCCTTCCCTAACTTAACCAAGGATAAAGAGTGTCTAGCTGAGCAACACATTAATGATACAGGTTCCTAGGCCCCAACCTTAATGAATGAAATTGTGATCTCCAAGGGAGGGATTCAGGAATTCTAGTAAACCCCTGTTCCACGTGATATTCACCATCAAGTTAGAAACCTTCTGGAAGTAGTGCTCAAACATGGGATTGTTAATTTTACCAAAAATGCTGATGCCTAGCTGGGCGTGGTGGGGCACACCTGTAATCTCAGCTACTTGGGAGGCAGAGATGGGAGGATCATGAGTTCAAGGCCTGCATAGGCAAAGAGGTAGCAACACCTTGTCTCAGAAACAAAACAAAAGGACTGGGGCATAGCTCAAGATGTAGAGCACTTGTCTAGCACACACAAGGCCCTGGGTTCAATCTCTAGTACTCCCAAAAAAAAAATGTTTTGGAGCTGGAGGCATCACTCAAATGGTTAGAGCACTTGTGGGAGGCCCTGAGTTCAAACCCCACTACCACAAAAAAAGTAAAATATACTTTTTATTGCAAACACAGCTTCAAAGACAGATCTTCCAGTCCCACCCAGGTTAGTGGTTTTAAGAAATTGAAGAAATTCTGGTTATTTTTGTTTAGTTTCTGAATTACAGTCATTAGCAAGTCTCAACCACAGGGAATGCCTTCAGACCACCTCCAGATAGGGGAGAGAAGGATCAACCCTCAAACAAACATTTAACCTTGAGAGAGGACGTCAATAAGCAATCAAAGATGTCTTAACATTTGTTGAATCAATATGTGTTCTATTAATAATGACAATAATAGACAAGGATGTGTGAGACTGTAACTAGTACTAAGAAGCTACTTTGCTGAAAAACACTGACTCCTCACTTGGGCCCATGAATTAACTAAAAGCAGGAGAAAGGCTTAGCATCTCTGTCTCCATTTTATATGTCTTTGCTCTGAGCCATTCTCTCTGTAGTCACCTTGGAAACCAGGACTGACAGGACTAATTGGTAACACATTTACAAGGAGGGACAGAGGAAACTGCCCCAAGAAAAAGAACAGCAAGCAAAGACCACCTGCCAGGCAATGACAACTC